AGTATTAGGTAGCAGTTTGATAATATGCACATATGAGCCCTGACTAACCCCCAGGGACTGATGGGTGGGGCAAAAAAGGGTTGAATCAACTGAAATTTCAAAAATCTTCTTCTCAAGATCCAGATATGGTAAAATCAAACACTCTTCATAGATGGAAGGGTCTTAAGGTGCTCTACCAAAATTGTGAATTTTATGACCCTGGGGTCTTACGTTTACCCCTGGGGAGGGGGTAAACTTTACTATAGTTTATATAGGGAAATCACATTTCGGACCAACATTTGTTAGGTCACCTGAGCCCTACTCAAGTGACCTATTCCAATCACTTTCCGTCCGTCGTTGTGCGTAAACTTTTTGCATTTTCAACTTCTTCTCAAGAACCAGTGGATGGAATTTTTTCAAACTTGGTCAGAATCATCCTTGGTAGATGAGGGTACAGAATTGTAAAATTGGAATTCCTAGCAGCATAGCTCGAAGCTATAAGGCCACCTTAATCCTATATGCAATTAAAACCGGTCGTATCTCTAGTACATGTGTATACATTTCTGAGTCAATCAAACAAAACATTGCCATAATCGTCGACATTTTCAATGATACAGTTCGAAGATGCTTGATGAACAGTGAAGTTCCATAAACACACGCGTGTGCCATGCTGCTGATCTTAAAAGTTTTATTCAGGATAGCTCGGTCAATTTTTCAAATACCAAAGTGAATATGTGTGTTATATATAGTCATACAAATAACATTATCTCCTGATGTCAATCAGTTAATTGATTATTGTTGAAAATATTATCAAACATGGTTTGTTAGCTTACAGGTCAATACCAATGTGCTGCCCTGCTGATTGTAAAAATTCAATTAATCATTTCTTGGTAAATCATCAGATGGGCTATTCAAATCGCTGTTTGTCTAATTTGATCCGTTGTTCGCCTTTAAACAAATCTAATATGATTTTGGCAGTTAAAGTTTTGTTATTGCTATTTTTCAGAAAGTATTGGAGGGATCTTTTTCAAATTTAATATGTATATGGTCCCTTTGGTCTATAGATGTGGATGATTACTTTTGAGTCTGATTGGTGAAAAAAATGGCCGACTGATGGCCATCTTGTATTTTAAAGATAAGATTTGTTGTTGCTATTCACAGAAAGTATTGTTGGGATCATTTTCAAATTTGATATGACCGTATTGGTTTCCCTTGGTCATTAGCTGTGCATGTTTACTTTTGAGACTGATCGGAAAAACAAAATGAACAACAGGATGTTAACTTGGATTTTGACAGCTAAGTTTTTTTTATTGCTACTTCACAGAATTGGAGGGATCTTTCTCAAATTTTATAAGTATCTTCCCCTTGGTCTTCTGTTTAAAAATGCCTCTGGGTCTTATTAGCATTCATCCCTCATTGACAGCACTTCTCATTATGTAAGAATTACAAGTTTTTAGCATTTTGCATATAGCTATTCAATTTTCATACAAAAAATATTTGTTGTAGTACGTGGCAAATAAAAGATGACATGACAAGGTTTTAAGTTAACATATATATGATTTTCGTTTTAGATTTCCAACATGGGATGGGGTAATAGTACATGTAATTATAAGGTAATGAAGAGCATGTATATATAATAATGAAACAATAAAGATGGTGGGCGTCAAGCATTGTTGTAGGATCTCTTGTTCACATATCAAACTGAAATTTGGTACATAGGTTTAAAACATGTATTATAGTCGCATGAATAGCATATCTTCTGATGTATTTACTTTAATCAGCAGTTTACATGAAGTTGACTGATGTTGGATGAAGATCCCTTGGAGTGACGACATTCAGGGGCTTCAAAGGTAGGTCTGCATGACTGGAGGAGCTGAGGATTAAGTCATTCAAATTGTTTTGAAACACCATAGATGGCAGCATTATAACTGGATAGTGTTTTATACAACTGTTGTGTAGGGATGCAACGATACATCAACATGACGATACATATTATACCACGATAGTGTGGGCACGATACATATTGTACCACGATACTGTGGTCATGTTACATATATTGTACCACGATACCGTGGTCACGATACATAATGTATCACAATACTGTGGTCCTGATCATATTGTACCACGATACTGTGGTCACGATACATATTGTAACACGATACTGTGGTCACGATACATATTATACCACGATACCGTGTTCACGATACATATTGAACCATGATACTGTGGTCACGATACATATTGTACCATGATACTGTGGTCACGATACATTTTCACGATACATATTGTACCAAGAAACCATGGTCACGATACATATTGTACTACGATATCGTGGTCACGATACATATTATACCACGCTACCGTGTTCACGATACATATTGTACCAAGAAACCGTGGTCAAGATACATATTGTACCACTAAACTGGGGTCACTATACATATTGTACCAAGAAACCGTGGTCAAGATACATATTGTACCACTAAACTGGGGTCACTATACATATTGTACCAAGAAACCATGGTCACGATACAGATTGTGCCCCGATACTGTGGTCACGATACAAATTGTACCATGATACTGTGGGCACGATACATATTGTACTACGATACCGTGGTGACGATACATATTGTACCACGATACATGGTCATGATACATATTGTACCACGATACTGTGATCACGATATATAATGTATCACGGTACTGTGGTCACGATACATATTGTACCATGATACTGTGGTCACGATACATATTGTACCACGATACATATTGTACCACGATACTGCAGCGGTCACGATACATATTGTACCACGATACCGTGGTCACGATACATATTTGTCACGATACTGTGGTCACGATACATAATGTATCACGATACTGTGGTGACAATACATATTGTACCACGATACTGTGGTCATGATACATATTGTATCACGATACCGTGGTCACGATACATAATGTATCACGATACTGTGGTGACAATACATATTGTACCACGATACTGTGGTCACGATACATATTGTACCACGATACTGTGGTCATGATACATATTGTATCACGATACCGTGGTCACGATACATATTGTACCACGATACCATGGTCACGATACATAATGTATCACAATACTGTGGTCACGATACATAATGTATCACGATACTGTGGTCACGATACATAATGTATCACCATACCGTGGTCACTATACATAATGTATCAAGATACTGTGGTCACTATACATAATGTATCACGATACTGTGGTCATGATACATAATGTATCACGATACTGTGGTCACGATACATTGTCACGATACATATTGTACCACGATACATGGTCACAATACATAATGTATCACCATACCTTGGTCACGATACATATTGTACCACGATGCTGTGGTCATGATACATATTGTACCACGATACTGTGGTCTTGATAAATATTGTACCACGATTCTGTGGTCACGAAACATATTGTACCACGATACTGTGGTCTTGATAAATATTGTACCACGATACTGTGGTCACGATACATATTGTACCACGATACCGTGGTCACAATACATAATGTATCACAATACTGTGGTCACGATACATAATGTATCACGATACTGTGGTCACGATACATAATGTATCACCATACCGTGGTCACTATACATAACGTATCAAGATACTGTGGTTACTATACATAATGTATCACGATACTGTGGTCACGATACATATTGTATCATGATAGTATGGTCAAGATACATAATGTATCACGATTCATTATGTAGCACGATACTGTGGTCATGATACATAATGTATCACGATACTGTGGTCACGATACATAATTTATCACAATACTGTGGTCACGATACATATTGTACCACGATACCATGGTCACGATACATAATGTATCACAATACTGTGGTCACGATACATATTGTACCACGATACAATGGTCACGATACATAATGTATCACGATACATTATGTAGCACGATACTGTGGTCACGATACATAATGTATCACAATACTGTGGTCACGATACATATTGTACCATGATACTGTGGTTACTATACATAATGTATCACAATACTGTGGTCACGATACATATTGTATCACGATACTGTGGTCTTGATAAATATTGTACCACGATACTGTGGTCACGATACATAATGTACCACGATACCGTGGTCACGATACATAATGTATCACAAAACTGTGGTCACGATAGATATTGTACCACGATACCATGGTCACGATACATAATGTATCACGATACATTATGTAGCATGATACTGTGGTCACGATACATTATGTATCACAATACTGTGGTCACGATACATAATGTATCACCATAAAGTGGTCACTATACATAATGTATCACGATACTGTGGTCACGATACATAATGTATCACGATACTGTGGTCACGATACATATTGTACCACGATACTGTAATCACGATACATAATGTATCACCATACCGTGGTCACGATACATAATGTATCACAATACTGTGGTCACGATACATATTGTACCATGATACTGTGCTCAGGATACATATTGTACCACGATATCGTGGTCACGATACATATTGTACCACGATACCGTGGTCATGATACATATTGTATCACGATACTGAGGTCACGATACATATTGCACCACGATACTGTGGTCACGATACATATTGTACCACGATTCCGTGGTCATGATACATATAAAAACAGTAGAAGGAAAGAGAAAAAATATTTTGCAAAATTTTATTAGCAACATTACAACTGGAAATAAACTTAATTAAAATTAAATTGGACATGACTTAAAAGTTCCACACAATTCATGTCTTTGACATGCATGATAAGGTTGAGCTGTCGCACACCATGTGGGAACGAATATGAGTAGACTAAATTCAGAAATGACAAAATCTGGAAAATATCGTAAATGTGTATTGTAACCTAGCTCCCAAAAATATTGTGTATCGTACTGTATTCAAAATATCGCGATATTTAGTCGCAGCCCTACTGTTGCGTAAAATTATGAAATATCCTAGAATGGAAAGAATTTAAGGAAAATGTCAATCAGTCAAAAATGTTTTCCTTAGCCTTAGGTAATGTTTGGTCTGCATAATTCTATATTTGTTTATAGCGACGGGGCAATGCTTTCAAGAAGTCAAAACCTTGGACCGATGTGCAGACTCTGTTCCGTGGTCTGTCGTAGACTATGTGACAAGGCTGATAAAAGTCCTGAGTTTATGGAGACCTGGTCGGAGAAACCAACAAGGAGCAAACTGAATGAGGAATCAGCAGGTAAACATATGTGAGAAAGAATTACTGGGTAATCATGACCCTTTTCCTCCCAACAAATATTGTGTTTTAATTTATTAGCATTCCAGCCCTGGGGTCTGGAGTGTTTGATAGAATTTCGACCCAGATGTGCTGACAGGGTGTAAGGTTGTTTCATCCTAAATCCTGTTCGCCCGGGTTTCGTTCTAAAAATGTTTCTGTGTCAAAACTATTTTAGGCCTGTTTAGTTGTGTATGGATAATACAGTCTCATTTTGAAGTTTTCCTAAAATATCCTTGGTCTATTTTGTCATTAGACTCATTAGATTTGTATGGAGGCACGGTAGTCTATTGGTAGGATGCCGGGCTCATAACCGAAGGGATGCGAGTTCGAGTCATGGCACGGCGCTGTGTTGTATCTTTGAGCAAGATACTTTACTCTGCTTGTTCCAGTCTACTCAGCTGTAAATGAATATTGGTTGGGCAGTGCTAGAATTGTTGAATGCTAGCTGTTAGCGCCGAAATGGCAGCTCCGGCTGTATGCTCCCCAGGGATCCGGAGTTGAGAAAGGTATTGGCTGGTTGCAAAGGCCTTATAACCACGGATAATAATTTGTGAACCGCTTTGAGATGACCTAAGAACTAGGTTGTGATAAAGCGGTATGTAAGAACCTTGAATTATTATGAATCCATTATGGTCTACAGTGGTGAAAGGGTTAATGCATTAGTGTTAACTAGGATAAAGGAAACCTAATACCACTACAGGAAAGTCACAGTTCATCAGATTCTCAAAAAATCTTTTTCTTCTACAGAATTGATCAGAAGTTGCATAAAAAAGAATCGAAGATACCAGAATAGCATTGTGATGGAAAATTTTGGGAGACATGAAAGTAAGTACATGTATTATTTTGATGAAGAACTGTGGAATTCATTAACATTTCTAAGTGTAAATCAAAGTACATATTACATATTATTGGTATTTAGTACATATTATTCTCAAATTTCTATTAAGCATAGTTCATTTTGAGCTTTCAGATACTTGATCATGGAAATTTATGGCCATCAGAAATCTTTTCTTCTTTTTCTGTTGGAAAGATCAAACAACAATGTGACTTTGTAAGGACAGGGTCAAACACAACAGTATGTAGATTGGATAAAAAGTTGCCTAAGATGCATGTACTGGTGAAATAGCTGTAAGTCCAACAAAATGACCAAACTTTCATCTTATAACAGTGGAGGCCTAGATCTCTCTGGAATATGGCTCCCTTCTTGTCTATCACAATTTAAGAAGTAGGGACATAGGAAATCAGCGGCTGGTTGTGAGTCTAGAATGCCATAGCTGTTGGGCGGTTCGATGTTAGTGTGACTCAAGGTTACCGTAGCAATACAATATGTATTAAAGAGTGTAAGATTGACAGGTGAAAATCAAAATATTTTGAGGAAAGCGATAATTTGAGGAAGGATTTATGCTGTTGGAATCAATATTTTACTATGGGATACCCAAGTTTTTCGTGTTTTAAGAGTTCAAATTATCAGTTTTAATTTCTAAGATAAAGAAGAGGTTTGGCCGAGACCAAAGTTTGAATACTTTGAGTTAAACAGGGTCTTCCAGTAACAAGAGTTTGAGATACCAAAGTTTGACTGTACCTCAGACTTTGGTCGTAGTCGGGTATAAAAATACAATATATGTGTGTACCTCTGACTTCGGTCGTAGTCGGGGTATAAAAATACAATATATGTGTGTACCTCAGACTTCGGTCGTAGTCGGGGTATAAAAATACAATATGTTTGTCATTTACAGTAAGCCGTTTTAACACATTACTGACCTGTTCTGTCGTGCAATGTGTCTATGCGCACATTTTAACACTATGGTGACGTTATATTTGACATTAACCCTTTCACCACTGTAGACCATAATAGACACATCCATATCAATACATGGGTGAGTCTACTAAAGTTACTTAGGGGTGAAAGGGTTAAGCAATTGTCTCAGTGGGGGAAAACATAACGTCAGCAATGACAAACTTTGGAACTAAATGGCGGTTTTTTTGCTTACTTTCTCATATATATGAGATATATGGTTTATGGAATCATACACTGAAACTGTATCAAAAGAAAATGAAATCTGTACATGTAAGTTGAATTATTGTTGGAATCTGTTTAATCCACTCAAAATTAAATACATGTATCTTTCTTTTAATACTAGTTTCTCCGTACCACTTAACACAACCAAGTGGGCAAGGATTTTATTATGTGACTGTATGGCAAAATTGTCATGCTTAAGTTATGCCGAAATGTTTATAATAGTTGGGTATTATAATTCTAATATATTCTATTCAAATAATTTTGAAATAAGGTGCCAGAACATATGACAGAGCTCCCCTATTTCACAGGCAAAACATTCTTATTCTTGAACCCTTTCACCACCGTAGACCATAATGGACTCATCCTAATAAATGCTTGTTATAGTCTACTAAAGTTAACTAGGGGTGAAAGGGTTAAATCTCTCGCTGTGATGAAATCTGTGCCACGTGTATCGGTATTACCCCCCATGTTATTTAGGAACAGCTTTAAATGTTGTTGATGTATGGCTCGCAATATCTAGTTTTATTTGATACAGGTGTATTGTTGTAATAAAGAAAGATTACACTTGTGTTGTTACCACTGCTGTAGCTAGGGGGATACACTTGTGTTGTTACCACTGCTATAGTTAGGGGGTTGTTACCACTGCTTTAGCTTGGGGGATACACTTGTGTTGTTACCACTGCTCTAGCTAGGGGGATACACTTGTGTTGTTATCACCCATGTTATTTAGGAACAGCTTTAAATGTTGTTGATGTATGGCTCGCAATATCTAGTTTTATTTGATACAGGTCTATTGTTGTAATAAAGAAAGATTACACTTGTGTTGTTACCACTGCTATAGCTAGGGGGGATACACTTGTGTTGTTACCACTTCTATAGTTAGGGGGATACACTTGTGATGTTACCACTGCTATAGCTAGGGGGGATACACTTGTGTTGTTACCACTGCTCTAGCTAGGGGGATACACTTGTGTTGTTTCCACTGCTGTAGCTAGGGGGATACACTTGTCTTGTTACCACTGCTATAGTTAGGGGGTTTCACTTGTGTTGTTACCCCTGTTGTATCTAGGGGGATACACTTGTGTTGTTATAATTACCACTGCTATAGCTAGGGGGTTACACTTGTGTTGTTACCACTGCTATGGTTAGGGGGATACACTTGTGTTGTTACAACTGCTGTAGTAAGGGGGATACACTTGTGTTGTTACCACTGCTATGGTTAGGGGGATACACTTGTGTTGTTATAATTACCACTGCTATAGTTAGGGGGTTACACTTGTGTTGTTATAATTACCACTGCTATAGTTAGGGGGATGCACTTGTGTTGTTATAATTACCACTGCTATAGTTAGGGGGTTACACTTGTGTTGTTACCCCTGCTGTAGCTAGGGGGATACACTTGTGTTGTTATAATTACCACTGCTATAGTTAGGGGGTTACACTTGTGTTGTTACCCCTGCTGTAGCTAGGGGGATACACTTGTGTTGTTATAATTACCACTGCTATAGCTAGGGGGTTACACTTGTGTTGTTACCACTGCTGTAGTTAGGGGGATACACTTGTGTTGTCACCACTGCTATAGTTAGGGGGATACACTTGTGTTGTTATAATTACCACTGCTATAGTTAGGGGGATACACTTGTGTTGTCACCACTGCTATAGTAAGGGGGATACACTTGTGTTGTCACCACTGCTGTAGTTAGGGGGATACACTTGTGTTGTTACCACTGCTATAGTTAGGGTGATACACTTGTGTTGTTATAATTACCACTGCTATAGTTAGGGGGTTACACTTGTGTTGTTATAATTACCACTGCTATAATTAGGGGCATACACTTGTGTTGTTATAATTACCACTGCTATAGTTAGGGGGATACACTTGTGTTGTTATAATTACCACTGCTATAGTTAGGGGGATACACTTGTGTTGTTACCACTGCTATAGTTAGGGGGATACACTTGTGTTGTTACCACTGATATAGTAATGGGGATACACTTGTGTTGTTACCACTGCTATAGTTAGGGGGATACTCTTGTGTTGTTACCACTGATATAGTTAGGGGGATCCACTTGTGTTGTTACCACTGCTGTAGTTAGGGGGATACACTTGTTTTGTTACCACTGATATAGTTAGGGGGATCCACTTGTGTTGTTACCACTGGTATAGTAAGGGGGGATACACTTGGGTTGTAACCACTGCTATAGTTAGGGGGATGCGCTTGTGTTGTTACCACTGCTATAGGTAGGGGGATACGCTTGTGTTGTTACCACTGCTATAGGTAGGGGGATACGCTTGTGTTGTTTCCACTGCTATAGTTAGGGGGATACACTTGTGTTGTTACCACTGATATAGTTAGGGGGATACACTTGTGTTGTTACCACTGCTATAGTTAGGGGGATACACTTGTGTTGTTACCACTGCTATAGTTAGGGGGATACACTTGTGTTGTTACCACTGCTATAGTAAGGGGGGATACACTTGTGTTGCTACCACTGCTATAGTAAGGGGGGATACACTTGTGTTGTTACCACTGCTATAGTTAGGGGGTTGTTACCACTGCTATAGTTAAGGGGTTGTTACCACTGCTATAGTAAGGGGGATACACTTGTGTTTTTACCACAGCTTTAGTAAGGGGGTTGTTACCACTGCTATAGTTAAGGGGTTGTTACCACTGCTATAGTTAAGGGGTTGTTACCACTGCTATAGTTAGGGGGTTATTACCACTGCTATAGTTAGGGGGTTGTTACCACTGCTATAGTTAGGGGGATACACTTGTGTTGTTATCAATACTAAAGCTGGGGGGATACACTTGTGTTGTTACCACTGCTATAGTTAGGGGGATACGCTTCTGTTGCTACCACTTCTGTAGTAAGGGGGATACACTTGTGTTGTTACCACTGCTACAGTAAGGGGGATACGCTTGTGTTGTTACCACTGCTGTAGTTAGGGGGTTGTTACCACTGCTTTAGCTAGGGGGATACACTTGTGTTGTTACCACTGCTATAGCTAGGGGGATACACTTGTGTTGTTACCACTGCTATAGTTAGGGGGTTGTTACCACTGCTATAGTTAGGGGGTTGTTACCACTGCTATAGTTAGGGGGTTGTTACCACTGCTATAGTTAAGGGGTTGTTACCACTGCTATAGTAAGGGGGATACACTTGTGTTGTTATAATTACCACTGCTATAGTTAGGGGGATACACTTGTGTTGTTATCAATACTAAAGCTGGGGGGATACACTTGTGTTGTTACCCGTTAGGGGGATACACTTGTGTTGTTACCACTGCTGTAGTAAGAGGGGGATACACTTGTGTTGTTACCACTGATATAGTTAGGGGATACACTTGGGTTGCTACCACTTCTGTAGTAAGGGGGATACACTTGTGTTGTTACCACTGCTATAGTTAGGGGAATACACTTGTGTTGTTACCACTGCTATAGTTAGGGGGATACACTTGTGTTGTTACCACTGCTATAGTTAGGGGGATACTGCCATATATTTTGTCTTATTGTGCATAATTGGTGGAAATAATAATGTGGGTGTTTTTTTTATCTAGTTTATCTGAACACCAAGAAGAACCTGGATCTCGCCTTCCTTACACAGGTAGAATATATAACTCATTTGTAGGTTTGATTTTTTTTTTGACTTCGTACTGAAATGTTTTCATTGCTGCTTTTTAGTCCATATACATATATGTAAATGTTCAAACCAATTCACATTGTTAGCTCACCTGGCCCAAAGGAATGTAGTGAGCTTATGCTGTGGCGCAGCGTCCGTCATCAAGTTTTTCTTTTAAACCTATCCTCCTAAATGCCAAAAAGGATTTCAACCAAATTTAGTCTGAAACTTTATTGGGGGAGGGTTATCATTTCCTAAATAAGTGGGTTGGTTTGACCCCTGAGGCCAGGGGGGCCGGGCCCTTCAGGGGAACTTAGCTAAATTTGCATTAAAGCGCATCTCCTCCTAAACACCAGAAAGGATTTCAACCAAATTTGCTCTGAAACTTCATTGGGGGAGGGCAATAATTTCCTAAATAAATGAGGCTAGTGCAATGTGTTTGTTGAATTAATGTTGTGTTGTTGTTGTGAATATTTATCAAGTCCTTTCAAAAACCATGTAAGTAATGCAATGTAATCACATGCTGCTGGAAAACTGGTATTTACACCATTTTTGAATGAATCCAATTATGTATTCCATAATTATCAGCTGAAAGAGTGTTAACGTTATATAATGATTGAAATAAAAGTCTGATCTAGCTAGATTTCACATTTATATTGTATAATCTATAATGATAGGTAACACATTGCTGCCACAAAGGTTTCAACCTCTAAAACCTCCAATGAGGGAGATCTCCCTCGTTCCACATTTCCAATGGGAGGGAGATCTCCCTCATTCCACATTTCCAATAAGGGAGAAAACGCGTGAAACACGACGGAAACTACATTGCTTAGTTTATCTTTCCCTTTTTATATATAAGAATAACTCCAAAAAGCATTCAATTGATTCAGAAACACCTGTTATGATCATTACACACACCTTCCAGTAACTGACCACAGGATGTAGATTTTGAGTTTGTGTGAGTTTGGACCTGGATGAGGGAGTTTCGAGGGAGATTGGAAATTTGGTCAAAATGAGGGAGTCTCCCTCCTAATGAGGGAGGGTTGATAGCTATGCTGCTATTTCCTGATGTGCTACCATGGGAACATGTGGGAACAGAACGGTGTTGCATACCATCATAATTGTTGAAAAGTCTTGTTTAAATCCTTGAATGGCGGAATATTTTGTACGTTCAAATTTACTACTACCATACTATATATAGTCGGGTCTACTTAATATCTTGTTGCTTAACCACACATACCCTTTAATAGCATGTGATTTGTTATGCATTTCTTTGTATGTCATGTTTTGTTGCAAGTTGCCTAATATATAACATAAAAGAACATATTTTATTAGTAAAAATCAAACTTGGATCTGTGAAGGCAATAATGACCATTTTTGTGATGTCCCATTGAGTTTAATATAACATTTTGTGATGTCCCAGTGAGTTTAATATAACATTCTGTGATGTCCCAGTGAGTTTAGTATAACATTCTGTGATGTCTCAGTGAGTTTAATATAACATTCTGTGATGTAAAACAATGAACCAAATAGCTGTTGAAAAATGAAGAGCTCTCGTTACTGATCTAGCTGATTAATGAAAGTGTTAAATTTTCATAGCTTCTTTTAATGTAACATTTAATGTAACATTTTTAGCACGAACTTAACCCTTTCACCACTGTAAACCATAATGGACTTTGCAAGATCAATGCCTGGTAGAGTCTATTAAAGTTACAAAGTGATGAAAGGGTTAGAGAAATGCAATGAACCATTGTTGGTCTGCAGTAAAACTATTACATATGGTTTCCACTGTGACTTTGTGTCTACTTGTCTCCAGGATTCTACCAAACAACATCTGTACAGGAGAATGAATAGTGACATCATCACAAGGAGGAAAGACTTCCCTCTGCCATTGAAGGAGTATTATCGGGGAGCAATGGGGATAGAGCACCTGGAGGAATGTAAGTTGAACATCTTGTTATCTGAATTTGATAAGTTCTATTCATGTTATCACACAGTGGCTTGTTAACTCATTCAACCCTGAAATTTCATAATGAACTATTCCAACCTTTGAATCGGAAGAGTTCAAATGTGTCTCCAGGGGTTAATGAGTTAATGTCAGTTGTCAGTGACCTTTTGAGATTGTCTTGAAGTTTGTACAGTAAACCTCTGTCTTAGTGACATGTGATGTGTTTGTACTACATGTAGTTGTTCTGCTCATATCAGTGATGATGAATGGAATGATGATTGTTTTGTCTTAGGAAATTTGGACATTTCTCTTATCATTACTGCAAGTGAGGTCACAAAATTATTGCAGTTTTGTTGTGTAATGAACATGAGTACAAGTACTCTATATACATGAAAACAATATAGTTTTCACATATGTATTCCAAGTTCTCATTACTTTCATAAATGATGTTTAAGTAGACTCGCTAAAATCCAGAACTATCTACAAACAGGTCAAATAATATGGTCCCTATGGTGTTCGGTTTATCCAAACTCCACTGTACATGTATTAACACATCAAATAATTGATCATGTAAATAAAAGAGGTAGGTTCTGAAGTTCTTGAGATAAGATGGAAATGATTCCTCAGAACTGGGGGATCAACACCTAGTGGTGGGGATTGTACTTCTGGTCTGTGATTTGTAGGGGATCCTCTACTAGTGGTGGGGATTGTAATTCTGGTCTGTGATTTGTAGAGGATCCTCTACTAGTGTTGGGGATTGTACTTCTGATCTGTGCTTTCTAGGGGATCCTCTACTAGTTGTGGGGATTGTACCTCTGATCTTTGATTTGTAAGGGATCCTCTACTAGTTGTAGGGATTGTACTTCTGATCTGTGATTTGTAGGGGATCCTCTACTGGTATTGGGATTGTAATTCTGATCTGTGATTTGTAAGGGATCCTCTACTAGTGTTGGGGATTGTACTTCTGATCTGTGATTTGTAGGGGATCCTGTACTAGTGATGGGGATTGTAATTCTGATCCATGATTTGTAGGGGATCCTTTACTAGTATTGGGGATTGCACTTCTGATCTGTGGTTTGTAGGGGATCCTCTACTAGTGGTGGGGATTGTACATCTGGTCTGTGGTTTGTAGGGGATCCTCTACTAGTGTTGGGGATTGTAATTCTGATCTGTGAATTGTAGGGGATCCTCTACTAGTGTTGGGGATTGTAATTCTGGTCTGTGATTTGTAGGGGATCCTCTACTAGTGATGGGGATTGCACTTCTGATCCATGATTTGTAGGGGATCCTCTACTAGTGGTGGGGATTGTAATTCTGGTCTGTGATTTGTAGGGGATCCTGTACTAGTGTTGGGGATTGTACTTCTGATCCATGATTTGTAGGGGATCCTGTACTAGTGGTTGGGATTGCTCACCGAACATCACTAAGTAATTTGTCCTGGATGGCCCACAAAAGTACAGGAATGCTGAGCTTAAAAAATGTTGAACTCTTTATCCTGATGACAGGAGATGATGTTATTGTGAGTATATCATATTTATAAATATTGCAAGAGCTTGATGAAAAAGAATCTTCAAAAAATGGGAATATAATGGCTGCTATGTTTGTTAACAAAATCTTCAAGCATTGCATATTTTTGTTTAGGTGCTGCATGAACAGCTTTCTAACAACCGCTTATCTCAAGTCATTTAAATAAAACCACAACTATGATGATTAATCCTGAATTGAGCTATTTTGGTGTTATACATTACCAGGTAAATCTCACAAGATGATGTCACAATGAAACAAACTTTTGCAACCCTTTAATGATTTGAAAAGTACTATTCAATTAGAATGATACAATGTAAAAAAAAGATGTTAAATTTCAAATGAAAGTTTTGAAAAGTGCATACAATCCAGTAAAACACTTTGAAATTTTCAAAATATTCTGTACAGCTTTGTCCCAATACTCTGTTAGGTTGTGTCTCAATACTCTGTCAGACTGTGTCCCAATACTCTGTCAGACTGTGTCCCAATACTCTGTCAGGCTTTGTCCCAATACTCTGTCAGGCTGTGTCCCTATACTCTGTCAGGCTGTGTCCCAATACTCTGTCAGGGTGTGTCCTGATACTCTGTCAGACTGTGTCCCAATCCTCTGTCAGACTGTGTCCCAATACTCTGTCAGGTTGTGTCCCAATACTCTGTCAGGCTTTGTCCCAATACTCTGTCAGGCTGTGTCCTGATACTCTGTTAGACTGTGTCCCAATACTCTGTCAGGCTGTGTCTCAATAATCTGTTAGACTGTGTACCAATACTCTTATCAGACTGTGTCCCAATACTCTGTCAGGCTTTGTCCCAATACTCTGTCAGGCTGTGTCCCAATACTCTGTCAGGCTGTGTCCCAATACTCTGTCAGGCTGTGTCCCAATACTCTGTCAGGCTGTGTCCCAATACTCTGTCAGGCTGTGTCCCAATACTCTGTCAGGCTGTGTCCCAATACTCTGTCAGGCTGTGTCCCAATACTCTGTCAGGCTGTGTCCCAATACTCTGTCAGGCTGTGTCCCAATACTCTGTCAGGCTGTGTCCCAATACTCTGTCAGGCTGTGTCCCAATACTCTGTCAGGCTGTGTCCCAATACTCTGTCAGGCTGTGTCCCAATACTCTGTCAGGCTGTGTCCCAATACTCTGTCAGGCTGTGTCCCAATACTCTGTCAGGCTGTGTCCCAATACTCTGTCAGGCTGTGTCCCAATACTCTGTCAGGCTGTGTCCCAATACTCTGTCAGGCTGTGTCCCAATACTCTGTCAGACTGTGTCCCAATACTCTGTCAGGCTGTGTCCTGATACTCTGTCAGGCTGTGTCCCAATACTCTGTCAGACTGTGTCCCAATACTCTGTCAGACTGTGTCCCAATACTCTGTCAGGCTGTGTCCTGATACTCTGTTAGACTTTGGTGTTGCAGCTTTACACATATATCAAACATGGGTTGCTTGTCTGGCTTGACTATAGCTTTCATAAATCATTTTCGAAAAGTATTCCTTGCGCTTTTTTATGGCAAAATAAAAAAAGATGGTATAACAAAAGACAAAAATTAACAGCAGTGTGCTGTGTGTAAATACATACAATGAATGCAGATCAGGATTCAAACCCTGGTCCTCATTTCATGTAACTGTAGCTCTATTGAACTATGTACGGCACGACATTTTCTAATGTTGAGTCTGCAATGGGATAGGGATCCTTAAATTAATTTGTTATATAGTATAATACATGATGTTTTAATTTGTTATATAGTATAATACATGATGTTTAAATTTGTTATATAGTATAGTACATGATGTATTAATTTGTTATATAGTATAATACATGATGTTTTAATTTAATTTCAGAGATTAATGAGACCACACAACTTGGTGAGGTCTCAAGTGTTTTTGCACAATTTTTTTAAAATAGAAGTTTTGATGAAGGTAAGTGCTTTCGAATGGCAGCTTAATGATCATGAACGGCAGTGGTACAGCTAACATTAATTTTCAATCGAGTCATGCCTATGCCTGTTTGTTTTTTTAATTTCCTTATATTGTCTTTAGGTTTAATTAAATTAGAACACATAAAGTTTATAATTTTCAAAGACAAAGATGGAACACACAGAAAGTGTGCAGTGCACTAGACCCAGGTATTGAAGTCACAGCGATTTTCAGCTCTTGTTTTTTCAGTAAAAGAAGAAAGGCTAGTTTTTGTTCAAAGAACAAAATCTGGTTTTTGTTGATTTTAAATCCTGGATGATGTTCTGCCCTGACTTTAACTCATTCACTCCTGAAAACACATCTGAACTCCTTCCAATTCAAAGGTTGGAATTAGTTTATTGCTAAATTTCAGGGGTGAATGAGTTCAATTCCTTACTGGTGACCACAAGGTCAAAGTCCCATTATACATCTTGTGTTATTTTTATCATAATGAGTTGTTTGAAAGAAGCTGATCGTCTGTTGCTGTGACATTTGTTAAATGTTAAATGTGTCAAAATATTCTTATAATGTCCTTGTAGGGAAACCAACATGATCAATTATTAATGTTACATGTACATTTCAGCATTTAAATTTGAAGTTGCCTACTTTTTTCAGATACCAAAAACATCTGTCGATCCTAAATTGGTCCCATTTCGGGGAGCTGGTGACTTGTGCTTTACACGGGTACGGAAATTGTTTTGACAAGATACAGCATCCACCCCAAACTTGTTCTGCTGGACATGTTTGTGTATACAACGCGGCCACCATAGTCTAGTGTGTACAGCAGAACTTTACTAGTCGGACACTCTGGTCTTTTTGTACTATGAGGCCAGGAAGGTTTAATGCTGTATAGCTCAAAGATTTGCCCAATTCTTTGCGAAGGTAGATTCAAATAGGTGAAAGAATATAAGACTCTTTCATGCCCAGGGTGTAGGATAGGGAAATTCAACCCGAGTTTTTTTCAGATTTGGTAAATTTTAAAATCCCGAGAGTGGAATGTCCCCATCTTACACCCTTGGGCATGAAAGAGTTTTTTTCTCTCATTCCAACCACCAGAATAAGCCCAGAAACCATGAAAATGCGTTTGGACTGGGCTCCATTTTGAAAATATCAATTTTCCCCTGGGCTTTTTAGACAAAAAACAAATCAGCCAGCCAGGTTAAGCATATCCAATTTTTTCAAACATTGTTTGCGCAGAAAATTTAATCACATCTTTCAAACGTGTACAGTAAATATATAGTAAAAGGTTTTAATTTCATCACGTCGCCTTTTCCGCATTGCGGCATCGGAGAGTTCGAAAATTGTGACATCACGTCATTGTTGAGCCATTGTGACTTCACGTCACGTGAAATGGGGTGTAAGTTAGAAATTTCCTACACCCCTTTCTTACCCTGGACAGCTCTATCTTACACACAGGGAATTGAGAAAAAGGTTGATCTTAAGGTATTGCTAAGGTACTGCTGCAAGGGTGTTAATCTCATTTTTGCATGATGTATCCCTGAGCCAAAGGAACTTGATAATGTATAGATAAAGGGGCTGGTCCACTGATGACTGATGGGTGGGTCCAAAATAGGAGGAATGGCGGTAAATATTACAAAATTCCTACGTAACTATGCCCTGATATTTGAACTTCATGGGTATAAAATATGTTTGTATACTTATTTCTGAATTACTTAAGTTTTGTCCACATCATAAGATGATATGTCACTAATACCAGTCCCTTGGTGCTATTGTTTAGCCTGCTTGGCGATTACTTTAACTGTGATAGACATTTAATGAAACCTGCATCACCAACTAAAGGTGCTCTAAGTGCATGATCATTAGGTCACAGTGACCTTCACTGTAAGGTCAAAGGTCACATAAATCCCCGATTCCAGTGAAATGTTGCCGGAGCCATATATTACATCTCTTCCTTTTTAAATTTAGGAAACGCTGACTGCATATAAATTACTCTATTATCCTAGCAACCACGGCTATGGTAGTAGTTACCATTGTAGCAACTCCCTTCAACTGTTTGTTTTCTTCATATAGCATTCTAACATAATTTGGGGTGTGCATATCAGATGATACCTTATTTTGACAGCATTTACTGTAGTATCGGAGCGGGTATTGAAATATTGACGAGATTTTGATGAAACCTGAAGTATATACCTGTATCAGCAAATGGAGAAGTAGAGTGTATTGTATTTAGGTTACTAGATCTAGACTAGGTCACTGCGACTCCACCTTTAGGTCAAAACTCAAATAAGTGCAAAGCAAACACGTATGCATATTGGCTGATGAAGGGGAGACAATATCCTTGTTCACAAAAATAGATCTCTAGAGTCTTGTTCATTTTGTGGGGAAAAGTGTGTGTGTTTTTTTTTTAATTCATTTTAAATTAAGCAAATCTTATATAAAAAAAAACTTGAATTTATTTCAATTCCATCTTGATGATTATTTTTTTATTTTTTTCATGAAACATCTAAAGTCGTACAAGCTTGTTTTGAGAGTCTCTGTTTACCATTCCACTGACATTCTCAATCAGATGGTCTTTCACTTATTGTTTGTTCACATTTCTTGTCTTTTCAGGAATATAAAATGTGCGATGAATATGTAACAGCAGATTCAAGGGACAACAACTACCTAGTGCACTTTGTGATAAATAATGATTTCAACCTAAAAGAAGATTATTTGGAGTTTTTTGCACTTGTGTCATTACTTCGAGCTCCTGAGGTGAATGTGATAAGAAAACTGGAGTAAGTATGTGGTTTAGAAAACATTTGAAAATATAATTGAGATAAAACTGCACAAAAAATGAATAAATTGACTTCACAATGAAATATCAATCATTGCAAGGAAAAGGTGGGGGTTTTATGCTAGGGTTGTCATCGGTTAGCCAGTTATATATAAGCACTTGCTTGGTCAGAAGACCACACACCCACTAACAAATAGTCAGACATTTATTTACCCCATGTGATCCTCCAAGTTTACCGGGCTTATTCCTACAAATATCTGTCAATGAGACCAAAACCTGAGTTTGGTGTTGTTTTTGTACCCGATAGTTAACATTAACAAAGAAATGCTTACACTACCAACCATTAAAAGCCTAAACTGGTCGTTTGTGTGGAACAAGTGGTTTGTCCCTTTTTAAATAAAACATTTTAGGGTATAAATCCTGGCGAACCTGCAAATGTTTATGCAGACCATGCAAGGCTTTGTCAATGCTCGCCTGAATTTACAGCATCAGATTATTAGGTCCGACCTTATTTCATAAACGAACAACCTTGGTCCTACAGGTTCAACCATTTGGATCGCAATAAACGAAAACGGCCCAGGCTTCAAAAGAGAGCCAGAATGCAAAGTTGTTAAAAGCTAACTTTGAGAGGTAGAACTCGCTTAGGAAGGGTTGAATGTAGAAATAATCTCGAGTAAACATTTGAATGATATATCAGTGTAGTATTAAAAAAGATGCAATCATAGATGAACTTGTTTTGTCAATCGAATGATGTTTCTCAAGAACAATATTACGGCATGTGAAATTGGAGTAGAATAACTTGCATCCTGCTTTATTCTGACTGTTGTTCATAGAATGTACTTATTTGCTAAACCAACAATGTATTTTTAATGTTTATTGTTTGATTACCAAATTGGCAGATTGTCTTGTTACTCGATTGGATTTTTTTTTGAGTAACTAAAATTAATTCCTAACAAAATAAACAGCTCCCTGGGAGCAGAGGGTAGGAACCAAGAAGAGGCAATATCGGTAACTATTGTCGTAAATTGTATGAGTTATGTCCCTTCTATTTGCAATACAAACATGATTGTGAAGTCATAGTTATTGTATCTTTATTGCGGTTGAATGATACAGCTTATAAGTGAGCCGGCATGTCTTTTCGTCAGTACACAACATGAAGTGGAGACCTCGGCAACTACATCTACTCCGTAAATACATGTGGAGTGGACAGGTGTTGGAGTTAATTTGATATGAAAGCAAATGGGGATCCAGTGGTATACAAGAAGGACATGGCCCAATTAGAAATATCAGGTTAAATGTTTTAAATGACGACGTAAATATTGGTGGAAAGATCGTGACTTGGTATGAAGCATACATGGTACAATTTTGTATAAATGACTGAAGTGGCTACTGCTGTGGGTTTAGGGGAGGGCTCCATGTGGGAAATGTGTGGCTACTGCTGTGGATTTAGGGGAGGGCTCCATGTGGGAAATGTGTGGCTACTGCTATGGGTTTAGGGGAGGGCTCCATGTGGGAAATGTGTGACCTCTGCTGTGGGTTTAGGGGAGGGCTCCATGTGGGTAATGTGTGGCTACTGCTGTGGGTTTAGGGAAGGGGCTCCATGTGGGTAATGTGTGGCTACTGCTATGGATTTAGGGGAGGGCTCCATGTGGGAAATGTGTGGCTACTGCTATGGGTTTAGGGGAGGGCTCCATGTGGGAAATGTGTGACCTCTGCTGTGGGTTTAGGGATGGGGCTCCATGTGGGTAATGTGTGGCTACTGCTGTGGGTTTAGGGAAGGGGCTCCATGTGGGAAATGTGTGGCTACTGCTATGGATTTAGGGGAGGGCTCCATGTGGGAAATTTGTGGCCTCTGCTGTGGATTAAGGGGAGGGGCTCCATGTGGGAAATGTGTGGCTACTGCTGTGGATTTAGGGGAGGGCTCCATGTGGGAAATGTGTGACCTCTGCTGTGGATTTAGGGGAGGGCTCCATGTGGGTAATTATGTGTGGCTACTGCTGTGGGTTTAGGGAAGGAGCTCCATGTGGGTAATGTGTGGCTACTGCTATGGATTTAGGGGAGGGCTCCATGTGGGAAATGTGTGACCTCTGCTGTGGATTTAGGGGAGGGGCTCAATGTGGGAAATGTGCGGCCTCTGCTGTGGATTTAGGGGAGGGCTCCATTGGGGAAATGGAGAGTGTCTCCCCTTTGTATCTGGAATAGCCATTTACAACAACAACAAAACTCAATGGTTATCAAAAAAGTTTTGATGATTGTTTTAGGAGTGCTTTCCCCGGATCAGGCTTGCCACTGATCAAGGCAGGCTACACCATGACACACAAAGTAAAACAACTGACACCAGAGCAGTACTTTGACATATTTAAGGTTAGTATAGTCAGTAATTGAGGTGTTAATGCCACTGATCAAGGCAGGCTACACCATGACACACAGAGTAAAACACCTGACACCAGAACAGTACTTTGACATATTTAAGGTAAGTATAGTCAGTAATTGAGGTGGTAATGACACAGTCAGTTCCACTTCATTTGGGTTTTTGATAGTAAGCGATTAAATATCAAGCCAATTTCACAATTCTTATGCCATCATGCTGAGTTCGTTGAGTCATCCCTGGAAACCACACATTCAGTTTTCTATAGACAAGTAGAAATTCAAAAGAAGTTCCCGTTTGATGTTGTCTGGTTGTCTCTTCTTTAGAATTTCGATTACTCTTATGGCCGGACTAGTGAATTCCATTTAGATGAATATCCACTAGGGTACGTTAAATCTCATCTTCCCTTGCATATGTAGGTCTGGTACTGGCCGTAGGTTGGTGGTTTTTCTCCGGGAACTCTGGTTTTCTTCCACCACCAAAACCTGACACGTCCTTAAATGACCATAGCTGTTAATAAGACGTAAAACGCAAACAAACCAAACCAAATGTTAGATTGATATCAATATAAATATTAATCCGTATAATAGCACGAGAGTTTGAGTAAATTTTTTACAAATATAGATTTGTCTCCCTTCCACTGTAAGCAGTGGTAATTTGTTGTGTACTGTTTCTCTTGTGTTGAAAAAAAAAAAATGTGAAAATAATTTCAGAATTGAATTGCATATTAAGATGTTTTGCAAAGTTGCCTAACAACATATTCTATGGTAACGCATCTTAGAGAATGAAAGGTGATGAGAAGTGACAGGTCAGCCAAGGTTTGTCCTCTGCTACCATTAACTTGACCATTGGGGAGGGATGTCAGTGTTAAGTGTGGCATCATATGCAGGGACAAACAAACAGAGTCACTGATATATTCCTCCTCCCTACAAATTTCCTATTCAGAGTATTAGCCCACAGGCAGACTTTGAAAAATTCTATTAGTCAAACCTATACTTTTCTAAAGATATTTCAATCCATAAGTTAATATCCCTTGAATAACCTTCATTTCTTCAGGTGTTAGAATACCTATTTGTTTTACGCAAACATATCCTGAGTGTGTTATTGCATTTTATTGTGTTCCAGATAATCAGAAAAGTGGATACCTACAAAAATGTGACAGAGATGGAAGAAGAAAACTACCATGTACAGGTACGTTTTTACATTAGTTTTGATGGGGCTTATACTTGTTTTAGAACCTAGCTCTTAAAAGTAAAAGCAGTCTTACAGTTATGTGCGATATCTTTCCAAAAGACTTTGACAATTAAAATAAATAAATCCTGAAGAGACATTTACATGCCCTTTGGGGCCAAAAAGGGGCAATTTGGCTATATTGCTTTTACATGTAACAACTTCTTCTGTAGAATTATGCCATGGATATCGATCATATTTTGTCAGAAGCATTCATGGGAAGCAGGGATTCAAAATTGTTCAAATGGTGGGGCTGACCCCCATGCTAAGAGGTGGGGCCAAAAAAAGTGTATTACTTGGAAATGGTTGAGATCCCCACGGTATAACCATATCTACAATTGTGGTGTATAAAGAGAAGAATGCACATTTGCTTCCAGGATGGCCTAGGGTCTTGCCTCACCCTTTGAGACATAGTCCCTGGGTCATAACTTTGAAACGGTTGAGATCCCCACCCCAGAACTATATATACAAATGCTTGGCGTAAAGAGACAAAGTAGTCATGGTATTAGAATAGACCCTGGTGTCTGACCGAGCCCCTAGGGACCTAGTTTCTTAGTCACAGCTTGGAAACAGTTGAGATCCCCACCCTATAACTATGCATATATACAATTGCTGAGTATAAAGAGATGAATGCACATATGCTTCCAGGATGGCCTTGGGGTCTGCCCCAGCCTTGGAGACTTAACCCCTGGGTCATAACTGCGAAATGGTTAAGATCCCCATCCCAAAACTATATATACAATTGTTGGGCATAAAGAGACGAATGCAGTCCTGATATTGTAGTTGATCCCAGGGTATGCCCCACCCTTGCAGACATAACCCCTGGGTCATAACTTTGAAACGGTTGAGATCCCCACCCCAAGACTATAGTACAAATGCTGGACAAAAAGAGACGTATGCAGTCATGATATTAGAATTGATCCTGGGGTCTGGCCACAACCCTAGGGATCTAGTTTCTGGTCACAGCTTGGAAACAGTTGAGATCCCCACCCCATAACCATACATGAAATTGCTGGGCATGAAAAATCTAATACAGACATACTACAAGAATTGGCCTTGGGGTCTGGCATATTCCCTTGGATCTCATTTGGAGAATATTTTGCCATGATTGCTTAGATATCCAGGTGAGCTATACAGGCCCTCTGAGCCTCTTGTTGTTATTAGTAGCTCATTCTGAACCCCTGACACCTTATGACTTCAGTATGACCGCAGCTCTTAACAGGATGTAAAACACATACAAATAAAACAAAATTTTGACATTTCAAGATCGTTATAGCTATTTCATGAGAACAACTTAACAGAGTTTTCTCAAATTTCATGGGATAGGTTGCCCTTGGTCTGGTGTTGTGCATGGTTCATTTTTGGATTGATGGGAAATACAGCATCGCTGCCAGGTGGCCATCTTGGATTTTAATGGTTCAAGTGTGTTATTGTGTTTTTTCTCAAGAAGTCCCTGACAGATCTGTTTTAAATAGAATATGTAGGTTACCGTTAGTCCCTTCATTTTGAGGCAGATGGGAAAAACAAAATGGCCACCAAGCAGCCATATTGGATTTCGATAGTTACAGTTTGTTATCACTGTTAATCAAGTAGCACTTGAAGATCTTTTCTAAAATTTCACCTGTAGATCCCCCGTTTTACATGGATATGAATGTTTCATTTAAGATATTGTTAAAGAGTGATGCAATCCTTAAATTAGGAATTTGATACCCTTTGCTGAACACCTTCCCCTTCCTTGCCTCAGATAAAAAAATGTGTGTTTGTGGTAAAGACACTTTAAATCTTGATATAGTTGATATAGTAGTCGACACCAATGGAAAGCTTCAGGTAGCGTCTTGTGACACATTTTAATGTTCCTATACTAATATGTGACTTCCGGTGCATATTGCTATAGAGGAAATAATATCCAGAAATCTTACAGGTTTAAAAAGTTGGTTAAAATACTAAATGTTCTGGACAGAAACTTGCTAGTAGCAAGAAGCATTGAATTTACAGAGGTGATCAGGCCAGCACTTGTTGAATCTCTGTTTACAACTATTTACACTTGGGGCATTAACCACATGGTTTGACAGACTATTCCAGGACTTCACAACCCTATTGCTGTAGCTGTTGCTGCTGATTTGCCTGTTGGTTCTCTTTTTGAATACCTTTCTATTGTTCCCTCTTGTTCTGCTTTCCTGGGTTCTAATAAACATTTTGCTAAGGTCCATAGTGGACATTTATGAACCATAGGAATCCAAACAACAAGTTTACTTCTCTCTTCTTTCCTTTCCCTGTGTCAATCATCAGATGTAACACCTGGGAATCCAAACAACAAGTTCACTTTTCTCTTCTTTCCTTTCCCTGTGTTACATCAAATGTAACACCTGGGAATTCGGACAACAAGTTCACTTTTCTCTTCTTTCCTTTCCCTGTGTTACATCAAATGTAACACCTGGGAATTCGGACAACAAGTTCACTTTTCTCTTCTTTCCTTTCCCTGTGTTACATCAAATGTAACACCTGGAAATTCGGACAACAAGTTCACTTTTCTCTTCTTTCCTTTCCCTGTGTCAATCATCAGATGTAACACCTGAGAATCCAAACAACAAGTTCACTTTTCTCTTCTTTCCTTTCCCTCTGTCAATCATCAGATGTAACACCTGGGAATTTGGACAACAAGTTTACTTTTCTCTTCTTTCCTTTTTTTCTGTGTAAATCATCAGATGTAATGCCTACATCTCAGAATCACAGACTGGACACAAAGTATACCCTTCTTGTACTTTTTAGGTCACCTGAGCTTTGCTCAAGTGACCTATTCTAATCGCTTTTCGTCCGTCGTCGTCCGTCGTCCGTCGTCCGTCGTCCATCGTGCGTCGTGCGTAAACTTTTACATTTTCAACTTCTTCTCAAGAACCAGTGGATGGATTTTTTTCAAACTGGGTCAGAATCATCCTTGGTAGATGAGGCTTCAAAATTGTACAATTGGGATTCCTACTCCAACCCCTGGGGCCAGGGCGGGGCCCCAAAGGGAAAATTAATCAATATTTCAAAAATCTTCTTCTCCAGACTCAGAGGTACTACAGTGATTTTCTCTACGTGGAAAGAAAGATCATCAGGGGCTTTACTTAAATTGTAAATTTCAGGACCCCCGAGCTATCCGTTCTCCCTTGGGGAGGGGGTAAAGTTTACTATAGTTTATATAGGGAAATAACACTTTTGGGTATATTTTGACAACTTTCTGTAGGAAATTATTTTTACTTGGTGAGAATTATCCTTGGAGGTAGATGGTTTCAAATTGTAAAATTGAGATTCCTACCCCGACCCCTGGGGCCAGGGCGGGGCCCCAAAGGGAAAATTA